AAAAAAAAAAAAAGTTATTAAATTTTAAAAGAAAACAGAATTATACTGCTGATTAGACACAAAACTCTGCTATTCACGTACATGAGGAACTCTACTGCTCCTTTCCCTGAGTTCATACTGCACAGGAAACAAAAGCAGACTCAAGAACAGAGGATTTAAGACCAAATTAAAAGTTAAGGGAAAAAAGAATACTGCTTTAATTTCTAACAGCACGCTCATCCAGAACAGCTAGAAGTAGTGCCTCTATTTAAACTAACTCTGATTCAGGCGCCAGCTCCTGCCCTTGAAGCTCTCGAAGAAGTTCTTTCACTCTTCTCTGGTTCTCTGACGTCATGTGTATGGTCTGCAGAGGCATTCTGGCTTCAGCTCTCTGTCTCGTTTGCCCTCCTCTTCTGGCAGGGGCACTCGATCTACAAATTAAAATAAAAATAAAACAAAACAATGACTGTTATTTGCCTGGCTGAAATAACGTGGACTGAACAGATAAGCGAAGCTGAACTTTAGGACGCAGCCCTGTATTTCTAAACAAGAAAACTGAAATAAGACGCTTCTGTCATCTAAAGAGCATTTAGTTAGGTTCATCTTTACATGATCAGGGTGTCTGTGCACATGCATACACTCATTTTATCCTATGCCAAGTCCATACTGAGCTAATAAATGCTTTGCTAGATAAAGGTGAGCTCAGACTACAGTACAAGCAAGTATTTCTGGGCCTGACTGGCTACAGGACATTCAACAAATTTATTCTAAATTGCTTATTTTCCACAGTCTGTAACACCCAAAAATGATTATCCTGTGTTTACTAGTGTGTTCTGATCAAGGATGCTCTGAAATTACTTTTCAGGCAAGGAAGAAAATTAACAGAGAGGTTCAAATCTTAAAAACAAAAACAAAACAAAAAACAAAACCAAAAAACCATTCATAGCTACAAAATGGTTAACAACGCGAATTAGAACAGACATGTTAAAGTAGCTTTACACTGCAACAGCTTTAGCTTGAATATTTAAGCATCCCTTTGCACTTCTGCACATTCGAAAACGTCCAAAAAGCAGCTCCAAAATATCCCAAACACCTTTGCAGCAAATACCCTCAAATTAATGGAAGAACCTGGATTCCAGCCTTGGTTCCTCGAAGAGGCAAAAATCATCTCCATCGTCCCAAAGTTTTGTTGAACATTTCCTATTTCCACCAAGTTGAGACTTGTTTGAATGGCGGCTGCTGCTGCCTCCTCCTCTCCCTCCTCCTCCTCCTCTTCCTTTTCCTCTTCCTCCTCCTCTGTTGGGCTTTCCTCTCCTCTTTTTTTTGCTGAACTCATGTTTTCTTCCTGGAGAAGAAAATAATGCCGCTCAGTTATGAGGATGATTTAGCGTGCCACAAGGGACTTGGTACATGCTACTTCAGTTGTTTTTTCCATATGACAAGAGGGGATTCCCTCTCAAACTGCAGTTAACTACCTACCCGTTCTCATTATTTGTACACCCTTGAAGTAAAATACGTTCTTCCAGAACGTTGTTAAACAAATTCAGCTTAAAAAACAAAAGGGATCCTATTTTCCCTCACAGCTTTTCTAAGCAAGAAGCGCAGGGCCTCTGAAAAAATACTGAGCCTAGCAGCACTGCTGTCCAGCCCTGGAACTCCAGTTCTGTCTCCCTGATGGGATTTCCTTGGATACAGGTGAGCAAAGGACTAAACTTTGGGGGGACCTTCACAGAGGAGAGCACGGTGCGCCCTGCCACTTTTCCACTCCGGAGTTTGCAGGGCTGGGAGCGAAAGGTCAAGGGAAGTTGAAGTCAGAAATCCAATGTGTTTCCACATCAGCCTGCTCCTGACCCATTCCCCCTCTGCACGAGGCTGCCCAGATGGATGAATGCTCAGTGGAGCCCGGGGCAGAGGAGACGATTATGGACCTTTTCCAGAAAACAGGGACCCTCCTCTCCTTCCCACAGCGGGATCTTCAGCGGCATTGACGTAACAGGCCCCTACGTTTAAAGCCATCATTGCAAGCGACAACAGAACGGCACAACACTAACGTCTGCCCCAGCTGCATACTGACTGCACCATGCTCCTGCAAAAAGGAAGCTGTGCGGGCACAGGCGAGCAGCTCCGGGCGGTCCGGCAGGGCTTACTACCCAGATCTTTGCATTGGGGTCGCCAGAGCTAGGACAAGGACTAACGGAGCCATGAATGAGCAACAGCTCAAATGAGGGCTCCGAGAGTGGCAACAGCTCTAGACTTGGAAAGAAGCAAACCTCCTTTTTGTAGCAGCTCTCTGCGCTGGCGATCAACCAGGACTAGGCAGGATTTTAACAGAGGAGTGGACTCCACTCAGGGCCTGAACGTGCACACAGCAGCCTGGTGCAACTGAGGGGGACTGTGGGCAGCATGTCCTACTGCAGCTAGTCACAGGCACTGCAGCGGTCCCCAGGGACGCTGCCAGGTAGGGTTGGGGGTCTCCTTCCCCTCGATGCACAGCACAGAGCCCACGGCAAAGCACAGCACCACTCCCCACACCGGGGGCACCCTGTCTCGTGACCCCTCCACAGACTCCAGCGTCCCCCTGTGTTCACCAGGGACCACAGCCTCACCCACCTCCTTGGGCTGTCTGACCACCCTGCGCTGCTGAGGGCCGCCCCGGGGGCCCACCCGGCCCTGTGGCCAAATGCTGCCCTCCATGGGCCCAGGAGCCTCCTTCCTCCTCCCACCCATGCCCCACAGGGGCCGCCACGCTTGTCCCCCCAACCGCCTTCCTAGCCCCTGACACCCTCGGGATCCCCAACACCTCCCCCCCCAA